TAAAAGCTGCTACTAATGCATCTGACTTAGGAATTCTGCTATTTTTTTTTACTAAGGATCAGTACTTTATTCTTAGCTGCTAAACTTTATGTAAAAAATATGTTACAGCTTGAGTGTGGCAGGAAAGATGAGACAGTTGCTAAAGAGAAAAATATTATTTATTTACTCTGCTTTTCAACTAACTTTTGAATGCTCCAACCCACATTTAACTAATATTTGTGGGTTTGAATGTTGCAGTGTGATATATTAGCCTGTCTCAGTATCCCGGTTCTTTACCCAGTGTGCCAATCACCTCTCCCTTCCCCTCCCTTGTCCCCTGCTGAGTGCTGTCCATCAATCCTGGCATTCCAGCAAGGGCGTTGTATAATTGGCGAAGTTCAAAAGATGCCTCTCAGCCCTGGGGACATTGGGCATCCAGGTGTCATTTGTCCCCTGAGACTCCCCACCCTTACCTGGTTGGTGGGATCCCTACCCCTTCCCTCTCCCTCTCCCTGAGGTTAAAACACACAGCAACTACATGGTTCAATGGTTCTGTCGGAGCTCTTGCTGGATTCAGAGGCCTGTGTGCCAGGAATAAAGCTCTGGATCAAAACCCTCCAGCAGAACCTGACTCCTTTCCTTCACCTCACCTAAAGCCTTTCCACCAGAGGTAAACCTGAGCTCCTGCTTGCGTGGGCTTGTCCCAAGTGCCAGCTGCAGCATCCAGCCAGCCAAAGGTGTCTCTGAGGTGAAACCACCACAGCTGCCACCTTTGGGCAAGCAGCAAGGGCCAGAGGAGCCCAGGCACGCTCCGTCTGGCAATATTGGGATTTAATTCCAATATTTGAAGATTCTTTTCAGGATATGATGATGATGGAATTAGGACTTTTAGGCGTGTTGTCCTTCAAGAGGATACATGTGTAAAAAAAAAATGCATACACCTACACTCCTGCCTGTGGTGGGAATTCAAGTAACCAAGGAGCTCAGTTGCTTTGTTAAGATGCACACTCTCAATTCAGGCTTTTGTGAAGCTTAATTATCAACAGAGTCTTTGGAAGGACTTTGCACTCAGTCCCTGTTCTTCTTATGTCTAAAGAAGAATTTCACTGCTTGTGATACTCACAGTGAATGAAGTGATGCATTAAATACAACAACTCGACATGCAGAGAGGATGAGGAGGAAGCCTTCAGCTCTGCTATCAAGCACCTGCCTTCTTTTATTTTATATTACACAGGTATCTACTAAGAAAAAAAACCCCACAGGTCAGCCTATGGAAAAGAATAAAAAGATAATCCTATAATAAAGGGTATCCATCTTAGAAGATATTGGAAAGAAAATAAACTGGAAAGTAATTTGGAAATTCTTGCTTTCTTTGGAATGCTTTGTACCTTGTGCATGTCATCAAAGAGCCTCTAGGACAGATTTGGACACAGTGACAGCTGAATTGGTAGGAGAGTGCACTTCCAAGGGAACTGGTGGTGGCAGGACAAAAAGGTGAACAGGATGCAATGGGCATCAGTCACCATGCCAGACCACTCTGAGAGGGAGCAGCTCAGCAATGTGCACACAGAGTAATTCACACCCTACAACTGCTATTACTGCCAGCAGCATTCATGGCATGATTAGGTATGCCCAAGTCAGACAAGGCACCATAATCATGTCCTGTCCACAGACACAGCAAAAAAATATGTGGGCTACTCAGAAATGAGAAGTTCAAGTTCCTTGCAAAAGGAACATGCTAGTAAAGACCAAAGTGAGAAACAATGTGATTATATTCATTTTTTACATAAATGCATGAAACTTTATAGAATGAAATGTGCAATTCATCCTTACTGAAGTAAAAAACTCCAACCCTCAAAACCAATGGTTATCAATAAAAATTTGCAAAAAAATTCCTAGAAATACACCACTTAAGACTTATGCTACTACAGTCATTTCTACATCAGGCAACAGCAAGAAAAAGAAATTTTAAAGCAATACTGACAAGCCACACCCATGTCTCTCATACACTAATTGAGAAGTTGGCTTGGAGAGGAATAGGCATTATTAGTTAGACCAGAATAAGTAAGTCCCCACTAATCATATTCCTCAATGCATAGCAGGAAGACTTTAACTGGAAGATACATCAGAAGATCCTTCACTTGAATCTTTTCAGTGTCCTGACTTCCTTCTCTCCCCAGACAGATCATTTAATCCAAGTTGCTAGTCAGCAAGACTTTCTGCATCAAGAAATAATTGACTGAGCACAGGTCTCTCCAGTGCCTCAGGAAATCTCTGGAGGCCTCCTCACTCTTCTCACTCAAAAGGAAGCAGATACTGCATCTGCTGCTCACCTGAGTCAATTATACTGGACACAAGTGCCTATCATAATTTAGAGACCTGGAAGCATAAAAATATTTGGTAAAAAAAAAAAAATTCTAGCAAATATACCATTTGAAAACTTTGGAAGACGATTGTTTCATTTGAAGTCTTTTCATTTTACTCAGAGAATAACCCAATATACAGCAATGCCAGCTCAAAAATTACCTTGAATAAAGCTGCTTTAAATTTTTTTTGCAGATGATTCATGAAGTAAAACAAATCTCTCTTTCTTCCTTCTAATAACAGCCTCATCACAAGACGTCTCCTTGTTACTTATTACTTTTAATGACAGCCAGTAAAAAAAAGGATTCTGTAGGAGTGGCCTCACCTGAGTCTACAGATCTTTCATCTCTCCCAGCGGGTAATATTCTCAAAGAGCCAAGCTACGCTATTTAGATTTAGTGGCAGCTGATTTGAATAGCTTTGCAGCTAAACAAAACAAAAAGTGACTTATCCTCTGTGGAGAATGACAGGAACGTGTCAAACAGCTCCTTGCTGTGCAAGTTGCAAGTCACATATTCTCCTCCAATCAACCTACTAAATTACTGGTACACCAGCCTTTCCCCTCAACTATTTCCTTTGAACCATTCAGAAAAGGTAGTTGAGCCTTGGGGCTGGGGATATGGGTACAGAGTAAACCAGTAACATCATCCAAAGTACTGCCTGTATGTTCAGAAAAGCTTTTTTTCATCTTAAGCGTATTTGAAGTAATTATACATGATACTCAGTGTACTGGAAATAATTATACAGCATTAAGCATGTGGGCAGATATTATACAATGGTGGTTTGTCTTGAAGTCATATTTTAGGTGATGTGCAAATGAACATTTCTGCATGTGATGCTCTCAACTTTAGAATGGCTTAGTCCTCCACTATGGATCACCCCACACTGCCAGAACACATACATTAGAACTGGAGGGGAAAAGGCTTCAGCTGAAGGTGGTGAACGCGTCATAAACAGAGCTGAACTTGTCACGCTGTTATGCTAGAGACTGCAGTGTGAGAAAAGAGCTTACATCTTTATCAGTTTTACTGGTGGAAAAAGGAAAAAGGAAAATACCTTGATTTTCGGTTACAAACAATGTATTAGCTCAATAGTTGACGAGACTAAGCACACAGGATTGGAAATAGAGCAGATGTTAACACTAAAAGAACACAAAAATGAGCTGAGTTTAAATACTGAGAAAGACAGGACACTGAAAATGCACTCTTGAATTGCAGGTCAAAGAGTAGCATTAGTGGTCAGCTGAAGAGTACAGACTGTGTAATAGTAGCCTGCAATATAATAAAACTGATCTTAATTTCAAAAATTTTTATATGTTGCTGGAAACATTTACAGTGCATTATACACCAGCACACTCAAAGCAGCTGGGACTATACCAAATACCCAGTTCTTCTAGAAAAGTTTCTCACTAACACAGGGCTCTTGCTGTCAGCCAAGTGAACTGAGAGCATGGACCCTAAACAATATAGACACCTTAGCTCAGATTTGTAAGATGACAACATTAACTTTGATTTGATACAAGGTTTGCTCCAGACCCAGGCTCACTGCCCCAAGAGCTAGAAAGGGGCTGACACAGCTGTTGGCTATCAGGTGCTCCTTGTCACTGCCAGGACTCCTGAGGTGCTTCAGCTCTAACTCAAAGCTGTGGAAAAGCTGAGGCTGGATGGCAGCACGATGGCACAAATATGGTATCTTGATATTTTGGTGCAATTGCCCTCAAACATGCAAGGCTTTATCCCCTTAGTTCTGAAATAAAGTACAATTTGGCTTTCACATGAGAGATATGCCTCATCAGACTCTACCACTGCCAAGTGTGAGACTTTTGGCTTCTTGATGTTTCAAAAATAAAAAAGGCTATGGGAATTTTTAGCTAGAAGAAAATATTGGTTTTTTGTCCACCAAACTAAGTCAACCAGCCATCTCCAGGGCTACCATAGTACCAACAACAGCACTGCTTTCAATCAGGCCAGCCTGTACAATTTCTGCTAAAACCATGAGGTTTTTTTAAAAAAATCATGAGCTCCTAAGAAACAGGTCATTATAAATTGTTGATAATTTTAACTATTACTCCTTGTTCTGTCAGTGCTGCCTTTTGTGTAGAAACTTATGCCATTAAAATACTTTTGAGTCATTTTACTTTAGTAGTTGGTATCTTCCACTAATGTGTTTCAGTTTTGTTATTCTATTATCTTGGGAGCTTATTCTATCCTTTAGGCACCTCGTATCCTGGAATAAGACAAACGGTTCTTGTAAGTATAGTCATTCAGTCAATGAAATATCTAATAACACAGTTCATCCGTTAGTGGGCTATATTACAATTTAAATACCTTACTAATTCTCAAAGCATTGGTTTACCACGTACCAGCCCTGCGGCCGATGATGAGCTTTGTGAATGTAACAACGAGGGTCCAGGAGTAATGAAATTCTGCTTCTGAACAGTGAGAAACTTTCCCTTCGTGTTAACGTTTAGCCTTTGGTCTCTTCATTTAGTAAAGATTTAACACTAATAGGCTTTCCTTCTACTTTTTATGGACTATAAAATACACGCTTTGACACGCCCCCGCATCCTCTTTCCCGACACAATGCTGTTGCAATTCCCTCCAGAACAACCCCCAGGTTACAAACTCATTTTCAACATCTTCACGGGTTGGGCTTACTGCTCGACACCACAGCACGAGGGTTCTGCAGCCGGAGAGATGCCGAGGAGAATCCATGGGGGATGAGGGACGACCTCTCTGGACTTCACTCCACCCACTCCGAGCATCACTCCGAGTTTTCCCCTGTGCTCTGATCTGTAAAATACACACAGGAGCGTTCGCACACTGTCCGCGCTTTGGGGCCTTTCAGTCAGGACCTTTATTTTGGCACTCTCAGGCCCACAAGGGTCCCTCTGCCCCCGGAGCACCAGCCCGGCCAGACGTGCCCCGTCCTGCCGGGGGACACCCTCCCGCCGCCATGTCGCCTTGGCGCGGGCAAGCGGCGCCTCCTCCCCTGTGTCCGGGACGAGGGCCGGGCATTCGGAGCAGCGGCGCTCACGGTTGCTGCCGGTGACCGAGTCTGCCTCTCCGGACTCGCTCCCTCGCTCGTTGCCCGGCGCCTCCGCGCCGAGAGCGCCCGGGGCCGCCAGGCCGCGCTCAGCCCCGCGCCCGGCACGGCGGAGGCGGCGCCTGCCGGCGGAAAGTGCTGAGTCACGGCCCTGACGCGCGGCCACCGTCACGTGCGGCGCCGGGCTCGGTCCCGCCGCCGCGGCGCCGAGCGCACCCGCGGCACCGAGCGCACCCGCTCTGCTCCGCTCGCCTCCTCGGCCTGCCTCCCTCTCTCCCTGCCAGCCGGCATGGGGCTGCTGTCGCAGGGCTCGCCGCTGAGCTGGGAGGAGACACGGCGGTACGCGGAGCACGTGCGGCGGCACGGCATCCTCCAGTTCCTCCACATCTACCGCGCCCTGCGCGACCGCCACAAGGACGTGCTCAAGTGGGGCGACGAGGTGGGTGAGACCCCTGCGAGCGCGGCCTCCGCCGCGGCCTCCGCCCCCCCTGTCGCGGGCGCAGGTGCCGTTCCGGTGCAGCGCGGGTCGGGCCGTGCTGCCTGGAGCGGGCCCGGGCGCTCGGCCGCGGTGGCCCGGCGGGAGGGGACGTTGCGGCTGCCCGGTGGGGCTTTGTTTACCTCGCGCACACGCACCGCTCGCCGCAGCTCGTTGCGCAGCACGGCTGCCCCGCTGGTACCGCGGCTCTGAAACGCCAGAAACAACTTTGAGCGTTTCCGCCTGGCACCACTCGGTTGCCCGGGCAGCCCCTCGGGAGGTGTATCCCCGGGACGGCGATGCTCGGCAGCACTCGCTCCTGCTCCGGAGTTTGTTTATGCTCTCTCGATGAGTCTGAGTAAAGCATGTCTATGCCTCGAGTCCAAGGCAGTGCCTGCTCGGACTCAGACTCAGTTTTTGGGAGGAAAGTGAGGAAAGCAGGAGCGGGGGTGGGCGGGCGGCTCTGCAGTGGCAGCCCTGTCACCGCGTTCCTCCTGTATCCCTGCGAGAAGGGGACCTGCAGAGCCCTGCTTTATCCCAGAGTTTCCTGGGCGTTTGGTACGAGTCAGCCTGCCTTCTGAACAAGGTTTAGGATGATCGCTCGGGTCATGACTTGAACTTCGTTACAGGTGCTTTGTGCCCGAGGACCGTAACTTTAGTCACAGGTCTTGGATCTGCTGCCTTGTAAACCTGCACTCATCTGTGCCACAGCCTGACGGCACTCTGCAAGGAGCAAAGGCTGCCTCCTTTATTCATCAGTTCCCCAGGAGACACGGAGCAGTTTCACATGCTGTGCTAGAAGCTGTCCTTGTCCGTGGTGTTGGTGAAGTCCAGCATTGGTCAGTTGAAGGTGTTCTAGATGCAGCTGCAGGGAAGTTGGAAGAGCAGAGTAGGATACAAGCAATGTGGGGACTTGGCCATTGCACCTCTGTCTCATGTACAGTTTGCTTTTTGAACAGCAAAGGCGTTTGTAAGAAAACTTCGTTCAGGTAATAGCAGCTGTTCACAGATGCTCTTTGCCAGAGGAGAATGCTGTTCGCTCTTCTCAATGCGTGCTCTCTGAGAGAAGTTCTGTCTTTAAATGAACCCCTTTTATAATTCACATAACAGTAGGGCAAGTGTCAGCGCCCAGAAGTTGCTTCCATGAGTGAGCGGGGGCTTGGCTTCTAAACTCTGTTTAATGAAAGTATGTGTAGTCTACACCGCAGAGTTTTGCACCTAGAGTGGTGTGCACTCAGAAAGTTTAAATACACTTTTATCTATCCTTGTCTGACGTTTGTGTTACTGCATGTCTTGTATGGCTAAAGTTATGCTGACAGAAGAGCCTCACAGTCTTGAGTCCAGGAATATCAACAGTCTTCCTGTTGCTCTGAGACTTAGCTCAAGGGTTTTCTCATTAATCTTTAAGAGATGGTGCTCATTTTTCAATGGGTGTTAGATTTTAGTTGTCCTTGCTTTCTCAGGGTGAGATTTCACAAGATAGTTAAGGCTGATCTACTAGCAAGCTGGTTCAGCTTCCTTCCCTGTATTCCAGGCTCCTATTTCTGCTCCCTGCCTTGTGTTGTTACTGGCCAGCTGAGTTCAAAAAGTTTACCCTGGAGAAAACTCTTTTTCTGTTCAGTTTTTTAGGGTAGTTGGCTTTCTCAGCAGAGCTTCAGCTCTTTCACAGGTAGGCCCAACAAGCCCTGCTTAATGTGAGGAAAGTACCAGGAGTGTGTGGAGGAAAGGGTCGAGTACAGCCAGCCCCTGCAGCACCCACAGCTGATTGCTTGGTAATCTCAGATGTATGGTGAGGCTAGAATCTGGGAGCCTCATTCTTCCTTTGGCCCAGGGACCCTACTGAACAAAGTGTTTATGCTCAATAAATAGTGGAGCATGATGTCAAAGGAGATTCACTGTTCTCTTCTACCATGCCCCAGTGTGGCAAGAGGCAAGATTTGAAGAGCAGTATCATTGCAGACGTTATTTTGGTAAGGAGCTGAGAGCTGTATTAGAAATGTCTGTGGACATTCTGAGAAGGTCAGGTAACCTGGTTCACTGTCTACCTCTTCATTTTAGCAAATGCTAATAAACTCAGGTGTGGCAATTTTGTTCTGCTGTGTTATGTGGTTATATATTTTTATGTAACATAGCATTTAGGAGTGTGTTAATGGACCAGGTGCTTGTAGCCAGTCTGCTCTTGTGCAAACACAAAACTACCTCAGTCTGTAGCATACTTGAGCTGTGCTGTAGATATGCTAATGTGGAGGGCAGCACATTTGTTTTCCATTTTTCCTCTCAGATAACCTAGTTGTTAGAAAGTGGCGCCACATTTATATGCAGCTTAGATGAATCAACTGACTAATTGGACTGTTTTAATAAAAAGTCTTGTTTGCACTTTGACCTTCATGTATAAAGTCATAGCCTGAGGGTGTTTAATTGTTTTAAAAATTTATTGAAGATAGAAATCAAGAATGAAGATGACAGCCCTCATGTAATGGTAGAGATAAAATCAGAATAAACAAAATTACTTTTGTGTTTCTGTGACCGTGTTTAGTGAAAAATGTGTCTTGTATATTTTTTTAAGAAATGTTTATGAGAAAAGACTCGACTTCTGTAGCACATGCTGAGTTTGTCTTTCAGGGTGTACGTGCGAATACCTGAAAGGTTGTTCTCCATCTAAGTGATGCCATTGTGTAAAGGAAATACTGTGTTTGCTCACTAGTGTAGATACCAGCCTTTGCTTTGGTTTTGTTTTCATTAGGACTCCCACTTCTCAGTGTGTGTTGTAAGATTCATTACAGAGCTGTGGAGGTCCCTTGGGGTGCTTGTAACCTCCTAAGGACACCATTCTCTGGGGTGCCAAGGGAATGAAACTGTGGGGAATTATCACGTAGTGTTTCTTGGGTGTAAGACAGGAGTGTTAAGGCTAAGTGCTAACAGAGCATGATGGTGGCATCTGTTTTGAAGGGAGTGAGACAGCATCACAGCTTACATTGCAGGGTAGCATTCCCTGGTGCTCCCATCCTCTCCAGAATAAAGAGCTGTAAAGGTCAAAACACTGGTTCTGCTACCTTTGGAAAAGTCAGCTCTTTTATTGCTTGCTGTGTTAATAGAACTAAGAGCTGTTGTCTGTTTTGGGGTAAGTTCTTTTTTACTCCATTTTCCACAACCATGAAGCCTTTGCAATGGTAAAAAACAAAAGCCTACCAAATATGTAACAGAGTAAGTCTTGCTGTAAAAAAAGCTTTCTAAAGGCCTCCTTAAATTTGCATTTGCAGGTAAAGGTCTTCTGCCTCTTAATCATCCTTCTACCTCATTTAAAACTGACAGTTGACCTCCCTGTTTATGCTTGACTTCTCCTGATTGTGGAAATACAAAACAGTGAACTGTCTCATTATCCCTCATCAAACTCCGCCTGCTATCATTGCCTTAATGCTCACAAAATTTGGGCAACAATTACATCTGCTGGTGAGACCCTGTCATGCTAACAACAATCTCCTTGTGTTCTCATCTTCCTCTTCCTTCCAATAACGTATGCTTGACCTCCAGGTTGCGGAGTTGTGATCATTGTTTATTTTTTTATTTTTGTGCAGCAGAATCAAAAACCTTTTCAGTACTGTTTCAGAACTCCAGTACAGTTAGCAGATACTATCTGAAACAATTAGTTTGTGCAGCTTGGCAGATGCTAGCCTATTCTGCTGCTTCCCAGTTTTTATCCCAAAAAGCTCTCTTCTGTGCCAGTGTATTATTAGTCTCCTGTGCTGTTCAGCACCTCTTGTCTGCTGATTGCATTCCTCTAACTGATGGGTCTTGCTTAAATTTCCCTTTGGAGCTTAATGCGGACACTTGGATCAGGCAAGTGGAATGGCTGGCCCTTGGCAGGGCTCACTGCTGCTGCTTTGCGCTCAGCGTGCACACAAGTGTAGAGTCACAGCATTTCACACCAAACTACATATCCATGTGTATTCACATGTGCATGTGATACTTGTCTGCCACAGTCTGTAAAGACTGACAAGAGCTGTTTCAGCATAAGAAAATTCTGAGAAAGGTGTGCCCTGAAGGAGATCTCAGAAGGAAGAGATTTAGAAAGCAAGCATGGACAAAACGTGACAGTTTTATTTTAGAGTACATGTGAATGAAGTAGGAATCTGACTTGCTCAGCCTTGCTTAGTGAAATTGGACATAATGACACTTTTGTTGTGTATGAGTCTTGTTCCCATCAGTGTAGGGACCTAGCACACAGTAAGCATCTTCAGCTTTTTAAAAGTTGTTTTCTTAATAGCAACTTGAAGTGAAAATTTGAGGCCTTTAAATAAAGATTTGATAATGCTGTGTATGAGGCAGCATGACAAATGTACCACTGCACTGCTTGCAAGTTGAAGTCTTACTGAATTAATTCTAGTTTGGTTTTGGTTCTTTGTTTTCTTTCCTTCCTTTTACCTCTTTCTCAGTCCTCTTTAAGCTTCTTTTGATCTTTCTTCTGTACACTCAATTAATTTCTCTCCTTATCTTTTAGTTTTTGAATTATACCGTGTAAATAAGTTAAATGAGAACTAAAATGAACATGTGCTAATCAGCACTTCCTCATGCAAGAAGCAAAGCAGCCCTTCTCAGGAGCTAGGAGAAGCCAGAGTTTTCTTACCAGAATGTCCCAAAGGTGTTGCTTCTGATTAGAAGATGCATGACTCTCTTGAAAGCTTTCTCCTTTTTCGTAATGAAAGGCTAGGCTGTGAAAAGAGCTGTATTTCCTCTTGAGTGATTCTTCCCAGGGAACTAGCTATTGCATTAGTGTCTAGTTACAGTTTCTAGCCTGTTATGGTTTTGGGTGTTTCCA